TGGTGGCTGGCGGGCTGCTGCCCTGCCCAAGATCCTCCTCTTTGGGAGCCTCCCCGAGTTCTTGATGCTGGGCTGGGCCTCTCTGCTAATGGCGAGTAGAGGCTTTCCTTGCTGCTGTTGCGGGACCCTGGAGGTTCCCCTGGGCCATGGCGCCGGGCCACTGGAACTCCACCCCACCCCAATCCACTCCCACGGGATCTCCGGGAGCCCCTTGCCCTGTCTGGGGGACAGCCAGAGTCTGTGAGTCCAGCAGCGGCTGATGGGCTGCTGCCCTGCCCGGGATCCTCCTCTTCGGAAGCCTCCCGGTGTTCTGAATGCTGCATGGGGCCTCTCCGCTAATGGCAAGTAGAGGCTTTCCCTGCCGCCAGTGTGGGACCCTGGAGTTTCCCCCTGGGCTTAGGTGTAATCGTGGGGGTCTTAGGTAGGGCTGTAGTCACCTGTTTTCCATCATCGCTCTGCCGGTGTGCACACACTCCTGCCCTTGGTGCATGGAGATATTATGGGGGAGTCCGCTGAGAGAAAGCTGCTTGCAGGTACTAGGCTGTCCAGGGGTCGGGGGTCGGAGAGTTTTCACCTATCTCCACCTCCTCCCAGGGGGAACTCTATCCGCTTTCTGATGTATAGCAGCACGGGTCTCTCAGGTGTCCTGAGATGCTATATGGATATCCTTTGTTAACCGATGAATGTCCAATTAGTTGTAGATTTGAAGGGGGAGAGACAAAGAAGACTACTCATGCCGCCATCTTGGTGACGTCTCCTCCTTTCTACTGTTTTTTTTGTTGCAATTACATTTATTTCTGCTCTAATTATTTCCCTCCTTCTGCTGACTTTGGGCTTTGTTTGTTCTTTTTTTGATTCTGTTAGGTGTAGTTTAAGATTGCTTATTTGAGATTTTTCTTGTTTGTTCAGATGAGCCTGTAATGCTATGAATTTCCCTCTTAGGATGACTTTGCTGTATCCCTTATGAGTTGGTATGGTGTATTTTCATTTTCTTTTGTCTCCAAATATTTTTTGATTTCTCCTTTAGTTTCTTCAGTGGTCCTTTCATTGTTCAGTAGCACATTGTTTAGTCTCCACATATTTGTCACTTTCCCAGCTTTTTTCTTGTAGTTGATTTCCAGTTTCAGAGCATTATGGTTGGAAAAGATGCTGGATGTGATTTCAGTCTTCTTAAATTTATTGAGGCTTGCCTTGTTTTGCAAGATATAGTCTATCCTTGATAATGTTCCATGTGCACTTGAGATGAATGTGTATTCTGCAGTTTTTAGGGATTGTTCTATACATATATATAAGTCACTTAAGTCAGTGTGGTATAGTTTTTCGTTTAAATCCTCTTAGTTCCTTGTTGACTTTCTGTCTGATCTGTCCATTGGTGTAAGTGGGGTATTGAGGTCCCCTATTATTATTGTGTTGTTAATATCTCCTTTTAGATTTGTTGATAGTTGGATTATGTACTTTGGTGCTCCTGTGTTGGGTGCATATATGTTTATAAGTGCTATGTCTTCTTGGTTGGGTGTCCCTTTGATCATTATGTACTGTCCCGCTTTGTCTCTCTGAACCTGTGTTATCTTGAAGTCTGCTTTGTCTGATACAAGTATTGGAAGACTTGCTTTCTTTTGTTTATCACTATCTTGGAGTATCTTCTTACATCCCTTCACTCTGAGCCTGTATTTGTCATTGGAGCTGAGACATGTTTCCTGGAGGCAGCAAAATGTTGGGCCTTGTTTTTTAATCCATCCCTCCACTCTGTGTCTTTTGATTGAAGAATTGAATCCATTTACATTTAGGGTGATTATTGATATATGAGCCCTCAATGCTTCCATTTATTGCTCATTTTCTTGTTCTTCTGCATTTCCTTTGTTTCTCGTCCCTTGTATTTTGGACTACCAATTCAGCTTGGTAGTTTGTCTATGATGGTGTTCTTACTCTCTTTGTTTATCATTTGTGTCTCTGTTCTGATTATTTGTTTTGTGGTTACCATGAGGTTTGTATAAAAAATCCCATAGATGAGATAGTCCATTTTCTTCCTTTTTTTTTTTTTTTTTTAAGTTTTTAAAGATTGGCACCTGAGCTAAAAACTGTTGCCAATCTTTTTTTTTTCCTGCTTTTTCTCCCCAAATACCCCTAGTGTATAGTTGTATATTTTTTCAGTTGTGAGTCAGTAGTAGCTGTGGCATGTGGGGTGCCGCCTCAGCATGGCCTGTTGAGCGGTGCCATGTCCATGCCCAGGATCTGAACCAGTGAAACCCTGGCCCACTGAAGCGGAGCACATGAACTTAACCACTGAGCCACAGAGTTGGCCCCCACAATAGTCTTTTCTGATAGCCTCTTATTTCCTTAGACTAAGCCAATTCCATCCCTCCCCTTTTCCCTTTCTAAGTTATTATTGTCACAACTTATTCCATCTTGTGTTGTGTTTGTAGTTAAAAAGACAAGATTATATTTATTTTTCGTGTTTTCCTTCCCTTTATCTTTAATGTTATAACTAAGTGTTTGCTAACCTGTTCTGGTAGAGAACTAGAATTTTCTGATCTTGTCTACCTTTTTATCTCCTTGATCAAGACTTTTAACTCCTTTATTTTTTTTTAAGATATGAGGGCCTTCTTGAGCGTTTCTTTTATGGAAGTCTTGTGGTGATGAACTCCCCTAGCTTTTGTTTATCTGGAAAATTTGTTATTTCTCTGTCATATCTGAAGGATATTTTCGCTGGATAGAGTATTCTTGGCTGAAAGTTTTTTTGTCTTTTGGAGTTTTGAATATATTATTCCGCTCTCTCCTAGCCTGTAGCATTTCTGCTGAGACTTCTGCTGGAAGCCTGACAAGGGTTACTTTATAAATTATTTTCTTCTGCCTTGCTGCCATTAATATTTTTTGTTTGTCATTTACTTTTGCCAGGTTTACTACTATTTGGCTTGGGAAGTTCTAAACTATTACTTCTTTGAACAAGCTGTCTGCTCTATTCTCATTTTCTTCTCCTTCTAGAATACCTATAATCCTTATGTTGCGTTTCCTAACTGAGTCAGATGTTTCTCAGAGAATCTTCATTTCTTTTTAGTCTTAGTTCTCTCTCCTCCTCCATCTGAAGCATTTCTGTATTTCTGTCCTCCAGATTGGTGATTCGTTCCTGCATAATATCAGCTCTGTTATTCTGGGTGTCCAGATTTTTCTTTATCTCAACCATTGTGTTTTTCATCTCCAACATTTCTGATTGCTTTTTCTTTACAGTTTCGATCTCTTTTTTGAAGAAGTTCCTGATTTCATTGAATTATCTGTATTTTTGTAGCTCGAAGTTTTTTCTGCTGTAGCTTTTTCAAATATTCTGTCATTTAGATTATAAATTTCTGTGCCTTCAGGATTGATTTCTGGGTCCTTGTCATTTTCCTTCTGGTCTGGAGATTTAATATATTTTTTCATACTATTTGATGGCATGTATTTGTGCCTCCCCATCGTGATAGTATCTGGTCACAGCTTCTACCTGTTGCCGCTGGGTGGGGGTCAAGAGCTGTGTATTCTGAGCCCATCACGATCCACAGCTTGCTTGCTCACAGCTGCTACTTTTCTATCTTTAAGGGCACTCTGGCCCACTGGCTGATCTGCAGTGCTGGGCAGGAGGATGGACACTTTCTTTTGCATGTGAAATCCTAGAGGCCTTCTCTCTGCCCTCACTATCTGCTCTCTTGGGGTGCTGGCTTGATGAAGACTCCCCTCAGTAGCTTAGTTGCCTTTGTGTGGGGCTTTCCCACATCTGTGAGGGAACTTGGAGAGCCAAGGAGTTCCTGCTGAGGTCTGCCCCTCCCCGCTTCCTCTCAGAGCTGTGCAGTCCCATGCCCTTGGTCACTGCCATTGGTGAGAGAGAGGAGATCCATTTATCTCCTTCCACTTCCTCCGAGGGCTCCAGCACCTCCACCTTCAGATATGGCTGTGTGGGTCTCTCAGATGTCTTCTGTGTTGTCTGAATGTCCTCTATTGTTATATGAATGTCCTTTTCATTGTATCTTAGCGGGGAGAGTCTGAGGGGAGGGCTCACTCCACCATGATGCTGATGTCACTCAAGGAAATATTTAAGCAAGCAAAAAAGAATAATAGAGGGAAAATATTCTCACCTGTTTTTTGGCTCCTTTCATTTCAATATTCTGATATCACTTGAAATTAATGTGTAAGGGAAGTTTTTACTTTTATTATTTTATGTTTTCTTTTGAAGAATTGCAGCAAAATACATCATTCATTGATGTGTTTTGATGCAGGGTAATGTGTTGGTTCTGAAATACCACAAGTTGTCATTTTTAGGTTCACTTAAACCCACTATGATATCACTTTAGAGTAGATATTCTCAGCTACTTTTCACAGGCAGGATGAAGATTGGCTGGGTGATACTCTCAGGTATGCACTCTGATTACTGGTTGTGATGATAAAATAGAGTACAGAACATACAACTTCCAGATCACATGTCCTTCAGTGAAACTGCAGAACACTACTCATTAAGAACTGCTGCTTTGGAGAATAATAAATGTAACTTTGGGAATATATTTTGAAACTCTGGGTAAAGTATTTTAGTCAAACTTTCTTTCTGCCAGAGGCATAAAATCTTGTTCACATAGTCAACTCAGAAACAGGAGCTGATGGGTAAATAATTTGTATTTCTTAGAATATTTTAGCTATTATTCTGAAGCAGGCAAAAGTTGTTGGGTTAAAAAAACCCACAACTAATGTGTTTTGTAAAGAACAAGTTGGATTTTTATAAGTTCACTCTCAAATTTGTAAAATCTATTATTCTTGGGCAATAAAGAAATTGAATGCCTCCCAATTACTCATAAGCAGGAATATTATTCTAAGCATTTATAAGTTATATGGACCCTTAATCTTAATGTATCTCTCTTTCTTTTAATATAAATGACTTATATTGAACATGTATTTTTATATCATGTTACTTGGTTTACTCTTCAGCAGTTTAAAATTAGAAATCTTACTTTCTTTAAGAGGCTCTCTTTTCTATTTTACAGAACTGAAACCAGAACAAGTGAAGAATATGTCTGCCAGTGAGGTATACTGTTTTACAGTTACTTTTTCTTTGTTCTGGTTCTCTATATTGTAAGACATATCTTTTGTCTGGATTTTTCTAGTTTATTTGATTAGAAACTAGAAAAAATTAACTTCATTTCAAAATACAGAGGCCTATCAAACTACAGTCTCTTATGGTGTTCTTTGGTAATGGATAGAAAGTAGTGTACATAGTCATTAAATCATTTTCTGTGAAGTCACATTATGTAAATACTAAACAGAAGAAAATTATAGGAAACTTGAGGGTTTTATACATTATGAAAGTAACTTGTAATAGGTTAACTCCCTTGATACTCTGTTTTGTTAGTTTTTCACTGTTTGTTTTCCTTCTTATAAGAGCAATGCAATTACCTTTGTAATTTAACTTATTACATTTTCTTAATATGGTAGGCCCTCTTATGAGATGCTGAAACATACTTTTGGGAAAAATTGCCTGTAAAATATAAAATTGAATATGCAGACAGATCATAGCTATGTGAACAGTCTTTTAAAATCAGACTTGAATTGTATTTGTAATTTATCTGTCAGATTTTTTTTTACTGCTCAAGTTTCAACAGCTATTGAGGAGACAGTAAACTCTTAACAGAGAGTTCATATATTTGAGCACATCTTGGCAGGATTTTTTTTCAAGCTTCTAAATAAACTCAAGGTTGTCTTCAGTGTCTTGTGCATGGTGGTTAATCAACTACATTACTCAGACAGTCCTCAGTGTTGGCTCAGGGTCTCTTACAAAGCTGTAATCAAGATGTTTGCTGGGGCTGTAGTCATTGCAAGGCTCAGCTGGGGAAAATCTACTTCCAAGCTCACTCACGTGGTTCTTTGCCAGATACATTTCCTAGTGGGTTGTTAGGCTAAGAGCTTGTTTTCTCTGGCTGTTGGCTGAAGGCTGCTTTCAGTTCCTTGCCACATAGGCCTCTCCAGCAGAGTAGTTTGCTTCATCAAAACAAGCAAGCAAGGAAGGCAAGAGAGAGTGCCAGCGAGGTGGAAGTCATGGTCTATGTAATGTAATCCTGGAGTGACATCCATCACTTTTGCTGTATTCTGTTCTTAAGTCCAGTCTGCACTCAAGGGGAAGGGATTACAGAATGGTATATATAACAAGAGACAAGAATCATTAGGAGACATGTCAGAAGATGCCCACCACATCTGTAAATCAGTTATAATTTTTTTTATGTTTAAAGGGTCATAGTTAGTGAAATCTGCTTTTATATTAAGATCAGCCTTCTCAATACTACTTCAGAACTTTGAAAAGTGCCCTTGCTTCCTGGGAGCAAGACACGTCTTGAATTTGCCTATCCCAAGACATGGAGTCAGTAACTCTCTAGGAACCCTGGTTCGTTCTAATGGATAATAATATTAAGACTCTTGGGTATAGAAATGCGTACCACTTTGTTTTTCATTAGTACTGATATTAAGTTAGTCCACTCCAATGACAAGAGCCTGAAAATGCACATATTTTTAAACTATCAAGTCATTCTGATAGAGTACATTTATTTTAATATTACAGCATAATAAATCTACTTGAATTTTTTAATCCCACCCCTAAAAATATAATTGTATCCACTGTTTTAAAAATATATGTCATAACATTATTTTAAACTAAATTTTAGATAGCAGTACTTAAAATTTAATAAAACTGCTAAATGAATTATAGGAAATAACAGTACTGGTGCCTTTTGTGACTATTCCTCTAATTGTGTGGTTACATTCTCCTATATACCTTTATCCAGTTTGCTTTTAGCCTAATGGTTTTAGTATTAATAATTTGGTAGTAATTTTAACTGTTAGTCCTGATTTGTGAGTTAATATTTATAAAGCACTTAAAATAGTCTGATGGGGCTGGCTCCATGGCCTAGTGGTTAAGTTTGGCATGCTCTGGTTCGGCGGCCCAGGTTCACTTCCCAGGCATAGACCTACACCGCTCATTGGCAGCCATACTGTGGTGGCGACCCACATACAAAATAGAGGAAGATTGGCACAGATGTTAGCTCAGGGCAAATCTTTCTCCGAAACAAAAAGTCTGGCAATAGTGAATACCATATAAGTGTCCATTAAATAATATTAAAACATATAAATACTCAATAATGGCATTTTATGATAGAGATTAACAAAATCCATTCTGCCAGTTCCATTTATGAGATGAGAGGAAAACACAAAGTAGTTTGATTTCTAAAATTGTATACTAGAATTTTATTCAGCCATTATTTTGTACAACTTGAATAACTAAGTGTATTATCAGGTACTGGTGTATATACACAAATTTAGGTGAGATAAACCCAATTTGTCTTTTATAGTTTATAAGAATAGAAACTCAAATAATTGTTTCAGAATTCTGTGTTTTTAAAAGCTAATACTGAAAATTGTTGGTTATAAATTTAGGGCATAATGTACTTTGTTTTTAAAGGACACAGTTTATGTCCAGTTTAATTTTTTTATTCATTATTTTGTTTTGATAAGACATCTTTACTATTTCTCTTTCCCTCTTTACTGAACTAGCTAACACTTGCTTTTTCCTGTTGTATACATTAGTCTTGTGCTAACTTTAAAATATCATGTATAAATTTCATATATGTACATACACCAAACTATATACTGAAATTATAATTCCATGGAAAAGTTTTAAAACCTTAATTTCTTTAACAAGTAAATTTTATTCGGAAATATCATGGATAATACCCACGTGACATTCATCATTCTTCTATACTTTGGGCTTTAGGAAGAGCCAGTGTGTGTTTTATAGTTAAATAAGAAACATATAGGGCTCATATGGTGATTGTGTGTTAAAAATATATCCTTTTACTTTTTTGACTAAGATTTTTCAGATTAGGCTACAGGTTACAAGTCTGGGTGATTTTCTTATTTGCTCATGGAGATATCAGAGAGGATGTGAAATAGTTACGTTGGATTTTATAAGAGTGATAAAAAGAAGAATATAGATAATAAATATTAGATGTTGACATTTTGTTTCAAATCTTCCTTTAACTTCTTATTTTGGGGCAACATATACCTGTATATGCTAGTGATAGTTTTTACTACTACTTGTTTTGTGCTAAATTCCATTTTGCCTTTTAAAAATCCTTAAGTATATAGATATTAATTAGCTCAGCATTGTTTTATCAATCTACATTCTCAAAGCCAATTAGTAATATCAGAAAATGTGACCAAATTAATATAAAGTGCATTATAAGCAATATTAATATCAGAAAATTTCAGATACAAGCATCCCACATGTTGTAGTTAAAAAGCAATATTTCCTTGAAAGTCCTGTATGCTTCTTGTAAACCCTCATTCTCCTTTCTAATAAACCCAGCATGAATTTAGTTAGAGTATATATGTGGTAAGTGAGACTTGAGAATGCAAAATTCCCTGAAACTATCCACAGAAAAAAAATTGGACACAGATAAGCCAAATAGTGGTATTATATCTGAATGGTGGAATTATGAGTGATTCTATTTTTCTGCTTGTCTGTATTTGTCAAATTTTCTATAGTGAGTGTGTTTTGTTTTTATAATGTGAAAAAGTATACTAGTATAGCATTTTTGTAAGATTTCTTATTTAGTAAACTTGCCTAATTATACTAACATGTAAAATAAGATGATCGGCATGATTTTCTAAGAATACATCTATTTATATTTATAATATTAGTAAGCAACAGCATCCTTACTTTAAACCCATTGTTGGGTTAACTAGTGTATGTGTTCATCTTTTTTATTGTCATATGTTTTTTTTAAATCTAGATGAGAAATATTCGATTATCTGACTTCACTGAATCGTTGAAAAAGATAAAACGCAGCGTGAGCCCTCAAACCTTAGAAGCATACATACGTTGGAACAAGGACTTTGGAGATACCACTGTTTGAGGAAATATATTTGTAAGCCTGCAGAACATTTTACTTTCCAAGAGAGAGAAACACCATCTTAAGTGAATAGTTATCTCTTACAGAAACTCAACCTAAGTTTACAGGACTTTTCAGAGTCTTAACAATTATTTGTGCACCCCAAAAGTTGAACCATGAAACAAATTTGAATAAAATATATAATGCAGATTGAATATTTTGTTTAAGGCCTTCTTGCCTGATGGTCCTGGTTATCCTGATGGACACTGTAAGTTTACAGCACAACAAAAACTGATTCTGGTCGTCTTTGCCAATATAATCGTAATGTAAATAATAATTTGTATATTATGTTGCAGATGAAAGTATTCCAGAGACAGTGAATGGTAGAAGACACAAGAGCCTTTCGTTGTTTGTCTTCTGATGTCTTTTCTTAAAATAGTCATTTTTCCCCCTTTCTTTTCCTACTGTTGTCTTCACTGTGGGTGACTGGAACGCCAAACATTCTAAGTTTTTATTTTCCTTTTTCTTTTTACAAATCCAGTGTGCCAAATGAAACTTTTTCCTATGTAATAACAATAGGAAAAAGTATTTTGAAGGTTTTTTTCTTCTTCATAAATCTACAGACATTAAACAGTTGTGTTCTTTTCAGTTTTTATTTTTCTGTTACTTTGCTACCAAACAATTTAGAAAGCAATTTGTTGATAGCAATTAAGCAAACTAGTAAAACAGAAAAAGAGGTTTGAAGGTTCAAGTCACTCTGTCATACAACATGTAGATCAATCTTCATGTGACGTGCAGTATTTTTTTTCTAATGCATTTGTCAGAAATCTGTTGTAGACTGTTAACTTATTCCTAATGGAATTTATTTTCTGCTAGAATTATTCTGATATTTAAGAAAGCCAATTTTAACTGCTGTCAAAGTGGTTCCCATGCAAGAGAAAGGAAGTAGGGGGAGCTAAGACATTTCTAATTTATTGCTTATTACTTTCTTACTCTTTACAGGATAATTATAAGCCAGTGAATCAACCATCTTTTATTCTTAATAATTATTAATCCCTTCAATGAAATTTTAAAAAATTACTGAATTTTTATATATTGCATACATTTTATAGGTTTCTTGTGCTCACTTTATTAACTGAAAAGTTGTAGTCTGTTAACCTGCCTTTTGTTTCCCAAAAATGTACAGTAATTCCGTTTCTTGTTTGTATAAGTATGCCTGGATTTTTATTATAAAAATGTCATTGTAGGAAGTAGAGACTCATAACATGGCCTTTTAAATATTGTAATAAAGGCAAATGGATATTTGCCCTTAGTTTACTGGTTAAAAGTTTGTTTACAGAAATTTTCTTTGGTGCTTTTATGTAAAATGTCGTGGGTGGAAAGAATAATTTTATAGTGGTAACAAAGATTTTTCATTTAGTAAAAATATCTTTGGTTTTGAGAAAATGCGTTAAAATTTAAAACTTGCCCCTACTAGATAAGAATTTTATAAAGACATACATTCTTCTTAATTTTACTCTTGCTTTCGTTAGAGATTTATCTAAATAGAGAAGATGTATGATTTCTTAACATCCTATGCTGTTTGTAGCCATAACTTAAATCATGTCTCTTCTAATCATGACTTTAGAACTCCCTGGATAATAAAAGTGAGAGCTGAGATAAATAGAAAAAAATTTTTTTAAGCCAGAACCATGCATAGTAATATCTTTTAAAAGTCTCAAACATTGAAGCATCAGTTATAACATATTGATAATGAAAAATAATGAAATATACATGATGACAAGAATTGGCAACATCCCAAATTAAAACATTTTCAGTAAAGCTCATAAGATTTCATTTTGCATTTTCATTTATAAACGGATTGTCATTGATACTTGGATAACGTCAGTCATATTAAAGGTCTGTGTGCTTCAAGCTCAACTTTTAAAATAACTTTAAAGTTGTCATCATTCTGTCTTCAATAATGTAGCTCACTATTTTTATTCGGAAAACTTTTAGATAAAGATTTCAAATGTTAAAGGATATAAAAGACAAATTAATAATCATAAACATTGAAGCAGAGAATTATAGTACTGTATGAATATCCATCTGTGTACAGAACTTTCTCTGCTTTCCTGGTCAAGTCTGAAGTTGAGCTTGGTGCTAGAGAACTATTTTCTATGACTTACTATGACCAAGTTTTACTTTAAGCTGTGTTTGTTTCATAGAAGGGCCATGAAAATAGGATAACAATATAGTAGGAGGTATAAGGGATTGGTCTGGTCTTTTTCAATTAAGATAGAAGTTGCTGAGGTTTTTCGAATTAATGTTAGACTTAGATTGTGACTTTTTTGCCTTGAGCTCTGTGTCATGTTACTTCCTAAAAGGTAAAGCTTAAACATTAATGTGTGCTCTTCATGTTAATATGGCAGAGTTTTGTAAACTAAATTAAAACTTAACCGATGATACTAGACTTTGAGCCAAGGGAAAGAATCAATATTCTCTCTCCAGGTCTTTTGAGGGTAAAAGTTTATTCTAAGACAGTCTGCTCATTGAGGCTATTAGATTTCTGACTTGCAAATATGCTTGTGCTCGGGAAGAATTGGAAGAAAAGCAGATACTAGAATTCTAATTTAAGTAAATATACGGCAGTCTTTGTTTATAGTGTAAAATTCTTTATATTTTGTACAAAAACTAATTCTTTTGGTAGAATGAACCATTTACAGTTTCTTTTTGGACTCTGGGTCAAAGAATTTTCCTTTAAATGCTTGTCTCAATTTTAATCTGGTCTTTTGTACTTTTCTTCAGAAGAAATGAATTAAAAGGTTCGGCTGCATAAAGTGGGTTTTTATCCTAATGGATTGGAAATAAATTATAAACTTTATTTTGCCTTTAATTTTTTTATTTGAAACTTTTTGAGATTTTAGAAGTTGCAGTCTGGTAATGAAAGAGTAGCTCATATTGGACTGTCTGGCAAATAACAATGATAAACTCTGAACAAAATATAAAAAGGAATGATTAGAAGACTCTAGGGAGCAATCAGAAACATGCAGAAACTATACAAAATCATATACTAGAAGAAATCCACATTAACTAGCTTTTACCTTGAGAGCAATTTCCAATTGTACAGTGTGCTTGGAAATAGAATATAAGCAGAATCTGACAGTCTTGCTGGGCTAGGGGGTCATTTGGGGCTTCTAGAACAGGTGGAAATTAGAAGGAAAATTTTGGAAAAGAGAGAACTTCAGAGATAGAAGCCCCAACATCTGCCTACAGAGTCCTTTTAAATCTTTCGTAGATTCCAAAATTGTACTTGTGCAGTGTGATATTCAAAGGAATCCAGCAGAAAGCAATAACTGAAGTCTAAGAAACTGAGCAGAGGTAGCAGCTGCAGGGGGAAATACAGAGTTTGAATTCAAATTCCACTAGGAGGGCTTTAGTTTGGGTTTCAAGGGGAACCCTTCCTAAGGAGGAAGGATGACATCCTAGAACTAAGGACTCTACTTTAGGACTAGGGGTAAAATGGAAAGAAACTCACTGTAACAAAGCCTAAAATCAAGTTTTCACAGCAGCAAAGTCATCCATTAGTAATTTAACACTTAGCCAGAATGAAACAACATTACTTAGAAGGAAACAGAATCCAGAGTCTTCACAACATACCATCCACAAAGTCCAGTACACAATAAACAATTACTAAGCATAGAAAGAAAATTTATCTGATCCAGAATCAATAGAAAATATATAGAAGCAGACGCACAGATGATCCCTATGTTGGCATGAACAGAAAATTATTTTAAAACAGCTTTAAAATATGTTAAAGAATTTACAGGAAAAAAAGATGATGGATTAACAGATTGGGATTCTCAGCAGAGAAATGGAAACCAAAAGCCAAATGGAACGTCAAGTGATGAAAAATTAAAATCTGAAATGAAACAGAGTATCTGAAGTAAAAAATTTCACTGGATGGGCTTAATGGTAAACTGCACAGCAGAGGAAAGACAACTGGAAGATGACCAAGCAATTATCATACTAAAGCAGAGAGAGAAGGAAAAGAAACAGCAAAAATTGGAGACCTGTGGACAGTATCAGTCTAATGTACCTGTAATTTGAAGTCCAGAAGGAGAGGAAAGGAAGAGAATGGCGCAAAAGAAATATTTAAAGCAGTAATGCCTGAAATTTTCCCAAAATTGTTGAAAGACGTCAACTTACAGATCCATGAAGTTCAGTGAACTCAAGCAGAATAAGTACAACAAAGATCACAGCTGGGTACATCATATTGCTGCCCCCTACCCCCAATCTTAAAAGCAGCCAGGAAGGGGAAACGACATTACATTCAAATAAACAGCAAAGTGGTGGCTCACTTCATCAGAAATGATGAATCCAGAAAATGACAGAATGACATCTTTAAAGTGCAAAAACTAACAAAAACGTGAAACTCTATATCTAGTTAAAATGTTGAGAATATTAAGGCAAAATAAAAGCTGTTCCAGATGAACAAAAACTGAGACTTTGTTGCTAGCAGACTGACATAGAAAATGCTTTAAGAAATTCTTTAGGCTGAAAGACAATGATCCTCAATGGGAACCTGTATCTCCAAGAATGACTTTTAAGAACTTTGGAAGTGATAAATATGTCAGTAAATATAAAAGATAATTTTTTCTTAATTTCTCTAAACATTGGATATTTAAAAAATTTACAGTTTGGTATTTATAATAATATGTAGAAGTAAAATATAGGACAAAAATAGGACAAAGGATGGGAGAGGGCAGTAAATGGAATTACTTTGAAATAAGGTTATTATATTACCTGAAGTGGTATAGTATTAATGTAAGGTAGACTGATAAGGGTGCATGTTGTAATCTTTCACCCAGCCGCTGAAAAAATAGTATGGTAGATCTAAAAAGCCACTGGAGAAGATAAAGGGGATTATTAAAAACTATTTGATTGATTCAAGTGAAATCAAGGAAGGAGAAAAAAGGAACAAAGAACAGATGAGATAAATAGAAAACAATAGAATAGTAGAGCTGATACACAGCAATGTCAATAAGTAAGTGAAACTTACATGAATTGCTCTCTTACCCTCCTCCTGAACTACTCAGTTTTAAAGCATTAAGTGGTTGGGTCTTGAGGAGTATCTATAGATTTGATGCTTCACTAGGAGCACTCACAGACTCAACATAAAGTCATACTTGCAGCTATGATTTATTATGGCCAAAGATACAAAGTAAAATCAGCAAAGGTAAAAAGGGCATAGGGCAAATTTCAGAGGAAACCAGACGCCAGCTTCCAAGAGTCCTCTCCCAATGGAGTCACACAGAATGCGCTTAATTCCTCTGGCCACAAGTTATGACTACATGGTGAAAATGTTAGGCCTAACTGTGTTAGGCACAGTGAGCCACTGTATCAGGTAGGGAATGGTGGGAACTCTCTCCCAAATTCAAGTTCCCAGATGCCAGCCAAGGGCCAACTTTGCAAGCAGGACTTTCTAAGGATAGCAGTTTCAGGCATGCTATTTTAACTCTTTTCTGCAAAGTGGTTCAGAACAGGCTTCACTGTGGGGAGAGGGGACGTATGGTGGCCCAACGTAGGGTGTCAGAGACCACGTGGGATAAGGAGAGTGTCTACAATGATGGGCAGCTTGGTGTAGGGTTTTGGGGACAAACAGAGTGAAGAAGTTTTCACATGGTGGGTAGGGGCAACCTGGAATGAGGAATAAGTGCTCAAGCATAGAGAGGAGAGTGTCTCTGTGCGGGGAAGGTGTCAGCAAAGATGGTAGATTGGTTAGTACGGGAGACTTGATCAAATAAGTCAATATATTAACCATAGTGGAGCCACGTTTCTCACTGTCAGAAAGGTGTTATGAATACAGGAAAGGAGAAAACTAGGATGAAACGGGTGGGGTGGGGTGGGGTTGGAATTGAATTTAACTGTATGAATTCATGTTATAAGATATATAAAAATAGATAAAGAAATGTAGATGTAAAGATATGAATATACACATATGTGGATGTATCCACATACATATATTCCCTGGTTCTCTCCATTGAGGTGGACTTGGGGCAGTTATACCCCAAAAGCAGTGAACACACATAACACCCATGTGTTGCCTTCTAAATTCTCAACTGTCTCTTAGTCTACTCAAGCTACCACATTTTTATGTGTTTTTTATAAAGCAGCACCCCACTTATTGGTATCAAAATCTGTTTTAGTCTTCTGGGGCTGCCATAACAAAAATTCCATAGACTGGGTGGCTTAAACAACAGAAATTTATTTTCACAGTTCTGGAGGGTGGAAAATCCAAGATCAAGCTACCAGCCAATTTGGTTTCTGGTGAGAGCTCTCACTGGCTTGCAAATGGCCACCTTCCCACTGTGTCCTCATATGGCAGAGAGAGAGCAAGCTCTCTGGTGTCTCTTCTGATAAGGACACTAATTCCATCATGAGGGTCCCACTCTCATGACCTCATCTAATCCTAATTATCTCCCAAAGGCCCTGTGTCTAAATACCACCATGTTCCATCAACATATAAATTTTAGGAGGACACAAATGTTCAGTCCATAACATTCACTAGAGGAACCAGGGCTCCTTGGTGACAGGGCCAGTATCAGGATTGGGTCAGAGAAAATACATGAACCTGGAATATCCTGTGCTAGAAAAGAAGGAAATGCTCAAAGAATGATGAGGATAAAACATTGATTTGAGGGGCTCCCACTGGACAAATCTGATCAGTGAAGTAATTAATTATATTAACGGGTTATAACACATCAGATGAAATGAGAAACCATGAGCCAATGTGGATATATAAATAAATACAAAAACAAATTGAAAGCGTGATGAAGAATTGGATATTTACATTGTTTCAAAATACATCCCCACAAAATATTATTAATTAGAAAGAGTTACTTTATAGTGGAAAAACCCAGCAGATGCCACCTTGATGTAGTGGTGAAAGCTATCTTCATTAATGAGCCAAATTTCACAGAATAGAGTCAATGAGAAATATGCAGTGCCACTTCTATAATATTCCTGTCAAAGACTCATGACCTGAATCTACTCTAGGAGCATTCTACAAAATAACTGGTGTGTAATCTTCAAAAGAGGCAAGGTCATGAAAGTCAAGTAAAAACTAAGAAACTGTTCCAGACTGAAGGAGATTTATATAGAGTGACAACTAAATGCAATTTGTGAATTAGAACTGGTTCCTTCTGCTTTAAAATACATTATTGGAACTGACAAAACTTGAATGGGGTCTGAGGATTAGATGACAGTAATGTATCATTGCTCATTTTCTGATTTTGATGGTGGTTATGTAGAAATATGTCCTTGTTTTTAGGGAATACGTACATGTTCAGGGGTGAAGGGGCATCAGGTCAGCAACTTCATCTCAATATTTCAAGGAAAACAAAGTTCTTTGCACTGTAGTTCCAGCTTCTTTGCAACGTTCTCACTGTTTTGAAATCTTTTCAAATAATGTCTGGAAGTTTCATGAGGTCTATTTTTCATTTTTATTTAGGTTACAATTTTGAATCTTTGGGTCAGTCGTCCCTTAAAAGATTCTGAAGTTGCCTTATGTAGTATATTTTCTACTTTTATTTTTAAAGTTGTATACAGCTGAGTTATTTAAATCTTCTCTACCCTGTTGGTGTGAAATGTTTTCTCCATCTGAGGAGCAAACAATTAATTGAATTATTTAGTACAGATCTGTAGTCCAGGACATTGTGTCCAAAAAATCCTGATTTCTGTAGCAAATTTTTTGCCTTTCTCTGTAAAGTTTAGGAAAATCTTTAATTTTCATAAACTCCCGGATTTTGGTTCTAGATTATGGCTTTTATTTAACTTCTGTAAATCTGACCTCTGGTCTAGGAAGTTTACAATGTGATTTTG